GGCGATGCGGTCCCATGGTAGCCGGTAACCAACCATTGGTTCATACGCCGTTTGTTTCCTCAGAATACTGGATCCCATGTGCACCATTGGTTTAGGAGCCAGTTAAAGTACCGGACATTCGCTTTTTGTATTCTCATTTTCGTAAACAACACCCCAGCCACGAGAAGGCAGTGAGCAGGAATTCCCTGGCAGAGGCTGTATACGCGGTGGCCGTGTGAGAAAATTTCGAGAGGGAGGGCGAGCCCACTCCACTCTCGGCTATTTGCTGCATGGAATATTCTTTTAATCACTACCGTTAACCGATTTTGAAGTATATCAAAGGTTTGATCACATTTTAGAAGCATTCTCAGACAAAGTTACCCTGAAGAGTGTAAGTTAAGTATAGATTGAATTCCACAGGACTTACGTATTCGAACTTTTGACATATACCTTAGTCTAAACAAGTCACTTATCATTATAAATTTTCAGTGTAATTCAAACAACAAGAAACTCATTAACTGTTTAACGATATTATCAGATACTTTTCATTTTGTATTTGTTGGGGTGATCCAGAAATCTTTTCGCAAAAGACAAGAAAAACTCACGAAACAATAAGAAGCATTTCATCCAATCAGCGTTCAGTTGAAGTTTAACCAGAGACATCAAGGAAGTGATTGGCTGATTACCCTACTCCTACTAAACATAGTAGCATTCGATTAGATGGTGGTTGGAGGTGGTCGACAGGAAACCCTGGACCCGGGTTTCGTGCTACTTGGCATTCGTCAGCAAGGTGTACCTGTAATCTTCGAGGGAACTGGTGCTCCCTGGCGGATTCGATCCCGTGTCACCCAGCTTCACAGAGACGTTTACATCTCAGTCCTAAAGGAGGTCGGTGCGGCCCGGATAGCTCAGTGGTAACGTCTCTGACTGTGAAGCTGGGTGACACGGGATCGAATCCGCCAGGGAGCACCAGTTCCCTCGGAGATTACAGGTACACCTTGCTGACGAATGCCAAGTAGCACGAAACCCGGGTCCAGGGTTTCCTGTTGACCACCTCCAACCATCATCTAAACCTTAAAATAGTGCCCAGCGGTGTCGAGTCACCTAGACTGGTGGCCACATTGCAACATGATCGATAGCATTCGATCTGCAGTAATAATAAGGACTAGACACGCATGACATTGGTCACCCAGTGACCAATCAATTGTGATAGTAGCATTCCAGAATTTTCCGGAAATCCAAGGACATCTAAAGTACTATAAAAACACTATATTTTCTGTACTAAAACGAACCTTTGGAGTTAAGTGCTTCTTGCATAATTTTGCGCCTTTTCTCTGGTGTTCAGGTCGCTGTGTAGTTCTAGCTTGAGGGTTACCAGAATAGCTTAAGAACCGAATATAGCGTTCAATTAGCAAGAATTATCAGCATTATTGTATTAACCTTGAATAACGAATCCTTCTATTCAATTGACGGATATTATAATTACCTTGCAGAAAGGTAGTTGGTAACTGGCAGTAAATTTAAAAACGGTCATTACTTTCATATCAATTTTGGACTGATCATTTGAGAGAATATTCTCAAGAAGTTTTATAGAGAAAATCAACTTGATTTGCTAGATACCAGTTCAGTAATTTAAAGTTTAAATGTTCGTGCCTGAGACAGAAGATCAAGGGTTCGAGTCCCGTAAGACGGTTGGCGGATACACACTGCTAAATATTAATATATTCGAACACACAAAGATTGGTACAAGGAGGTAACAAATACATATGAACCATATAAATCATTCGATATATGTGAAGGCTAGGGTGCTGCACGGGTGCCCACACTCAAGCAGGTGTTTTTCTTAGGGAACCATACCCCGAGCCTTCGATTTAATGGTCTAATCCACATAGCAGTCGACCAAGGTCAGGAGATGCAGTCACATGATAGCCGTGGACCAACTATAAATTCCTATGCCATTTAGGATCTTGTAGCCTATGTGAATCGGTTTTCAATCAAGGTTTTTCAACTCCTCTGGATGGATTCCTCGTATGCACGATCCCGGTTAAAGCACCGGACATTCACTTATCCTCCTCAATTCCAAAAATATAGCCCTCACCGCGAAAAGATAATGAGTGAAACATCCCTGACAGTGGCTGAATATGCGTGGCCATGTGTAAGCATTTCTAGAGAGAGAGAGAGAGAGAGAGAGAGAGAGCTGACTCTCTCCACTCTCGGCCGTACCGGGGAATAAGACAGCTTAGACGATACGACCGTTCAGTATTTTCAAGCTTTTCATGATGGTCTAGCTTGAATGGACTCATGAATTCAACTATCTATGTAATTGCATGCTACCAAGTTCATTTATGGATACCATTTTTTAAAAGATATGAGGACTGATGATAATGGTTTAAAGACTAGTAATCTTGATATGAATTGTTGTTATATCATAAAAGTCTGGATCAAAATTAATCATTGACCTGAAATCACCCTATTTATCAAAGCTAATCAATAAGAAGATTATTATCCTCAGAAGAAATTGGACTATACAAAGAAAGAAAATAAAGGAAGAAAAGTATTCAGGCATGAATCAAATTATCACAACAACATTATTAACTTATAGCCTTTGATGTTCTGTCATAGTTACAGTCATAAGAGATTATAATGTTGTCACGCAAATGTTTTTAATGTTACGTTACGGATTAACTTTAGTTATCTTAATTCAATAATTAAACGATTTATTTATGTGCTAGATATTGGTCATCTATGTGAACGCTACCAAATACCCTGGTACGGTTATGGATGGAGAGAGTTGGCTTTCACTCTCACTCTCTCTCTCTCTCTCTCTGCATATGCTCTCACATGGCCACGCGCATACAGCCGCTCTCAGGTAATTTTTACTCACTGTTTTCTTGTGGTATTACTGTTATTTACGAAACTGAGAGGACGAAATGTAAATGTCTAAAACTTTAACCGGGTTGATGGTTATAGAGGGTCCAGATAGGAGAGTTGTGAAATCGTGATTTCAAACCAATGGTGCACAAGTGGTTCCAGGATCCTGATGGAACAAATAGCGTATGAACCAATTGTTCATCACCATCTGTTTCGTGGCTACATATCCTGACCTTTAAGTTGTAAGCTCCGGGTGTGGCCCCCAGAGAAAACCACCTGCTTCGGTCTGAGCACCCGTGAGGTATCACATCACACACATAAATCAAGTGAATTGAATGGCACATATGTATTCGGTACCCTTTAGTATTTATGTCAACATAGTGAATTTCACAGGTTGTTTCTTATTATACTACTTATGTAATGAAATAACACACTGTAATAGCCTGTTAGCAACATTGAACAGACGAACATCATGCATACTGAATACATTTAAACATTGAAAATCTGTATCAACCAATGAAGTTGGAACTGACTTAATCAATAATCGATATAGAAACCTTTTTTTTGTAAGGAAAATATACAAGATTCAACATGTACTGATAACTCATTGACCTCTTTGAGAAAAAAAAATGAAGGTCACAATCACGTCCAAGTAGTGGATAACAAGTGAATGCGTTAATTTAATCAATATCTTATTATTTTACAAACAAAATTTGGCACACATTACTGTACTTTAAGATACAAACTGTTTTCAAAAAAACAGACCCTATTGTTTACTAGATTTTTCAATCATTAAGATCATGAGTCAGTTGAAGCTAGACCACCATGGAAAGCCTAGAAACACTGGACGGCCGTTTCGTCCCATTGTGGGACTCTTCAGCTGTGCGCACCCACGACCTCGCCCCCTGCGAGATTCGAACCCAGGACCTACTAGCTTCGCGCGCGATCACTTAACCACTAGACCACTGAGCCCGCATCCAACGGTTTTCATGTCTAACTTCAACTAATCCACGAAATTGAGCGACATATCCACCATTATCTTCAGTGAGTTACTATCCCACATCAGACCTGCTTGAACTCCACTGGTAACGGCTTCTCCCTAGAACTCCAGGATATACCTCTTGAAGCCAGTCACTAGTGAGCATATGTTGATTATTATCAGAAGCCGTTTTGTGGAGATTGTAGTAATTTCAATCATTAAGATCATGAGTCAGTTGATGCTAGACCATAAATTCATAAATTTATAACCTAAGCGCAATATGCCAGTTATAAAGCATTGAGTCTAAATCCCGGGATAAAGATCAATTCCCGAATGCAGAGAGATCTAGATGACAAGTCCAAAGTAGAACCAAACGCGTGTGATGAATTCCACTGCTTTCACTGTTACTCAGTAATGTAACTGAAGGAATACAAATATACTTAATGGTAACTTCTATGATGTTTTCACTACCGTATTTCATTTATTAATGGTATAGATTTGAATCAATCTGTCGGTCAGCTACAACGTAGAACCATGGACACATACGCGTCGGCTTAAATTACCGAGGAAGACTGAGTTCATTGTAGTTACTTCAATGATAGCAATATATAAAAAGCAAAAATTCACATACAAATATAATACAGGTAGAAATAATTAGTTGATAGAAAGAAAGGCAAAAAGGAATTGTAATCAATGTGTACACACTTACATCATTGTGATCGATTCTGAACGATATCACACTCAATTCCCAACCATTGTTTACAATAGCCGCGCGGATTCCAACCAAATAATTTGCATGTACCAGAAGTCAATGAATTTATGCACTGATGCTACGTTTTGCTTTAGCCAATCCTTAACATTCTTCCAACCATTCTCATTATACGGCATCAACAATCCCAGTCATTTTAGTGAAGTAAAATCATATACAAATATTGTTAAGTAATATGATTGTAAACGTCAGATTATAAAGCTATTGCACTAAGGGGAAAATTTTGACCCATTTTGGGAAAGCCACTATAGTAAACTTTTGAGAAATGGCATCAAAACCCCCCCAAATTTCTTCAGTTTTGAGTAAAATTCCCCTTTAACTTGGATGAAGAAGAATTCTTCGAAACTATTCCAAGGTTTGAGGTTTTTCCCTAAACTATGGTGAAAGTCATTTGACCTTGGTGGTTTCTTCAAATTATCCCGGAAATTTCCTCAAACCTGGGTGATTGAGTACAATACCATATAACACAGTAGTACCGACATCATTTACTGAGTTCATTCTTACTTCCTAACGATGAACTACACACAACTCACCAAAACAATACTGTCAACAATACTCAACGCATTAAAAGACTAACTTTTTATTTATAAAAATATCTTTATCAAAATGTGTTTAGTAAAAAAATAATTAAGATGGATAGATCACAAGTAAACAAATGGGAACATTAAATAGAAGAAGAGATAAACAACAACAATGGTGACGACAACAACAACAACATCTTGGAACTTAAATTGACTTGACAACAAGACAAAAATAAAGTATTATACCGGTATTATTATTATAATTATTATTATTATTATTAATATATATGAATAAGAGTATCCATAAAACACCATAAACATAGAGGTAGTATTAATTAGAAATTAAAAATCAATTCAAATCGAACACAATGATTGATCTGTGAATCAATATAATAATAATAATAACCAAAAATAAAAAAAAAACGGATCTGAGTGATCTCTGTAACAAGCACAATTATTGATCTATGAATCGATATCATAATAGTAATAATCCAATCTCAATGATCCCTGGAAAAGGTTGTTTACTTGGAAGACAAATACAAAACGTCTGTATGTATGTGGATGTGTGCGGTATGTGTATATAAGTAGTCACAATAATACTGATATAAAAAATAAGTAGTAAAGGCTTTAAAAAAAAATACAGAATTAACGAAATCTATGTAAATAAATATTAATTTTATCATCTTAAATAATAATAGAAAGGTATATATAATACTTGTTTATATATATAAATGTTCCTTAAAGGATAAACTAAACAAAAACCCCTTGGCAACAAGGAAAAACAAAAAAATATTAATAAAGTTTTAAATTTTTAAATAGTAACTCGCCTTAAATTTGAACATAATGTCATTGTATCCATATGACTATTACTATTATTATGATTAATACTATTAGTACTACTACTACTATTATTACTACTTATAATTGTACGATCATCTTGAATAAAATGATCAATATCCCAAAAACTAGTAGCTATTCTATTCAAATTATGATTCTCAGTTGTTGTTGTTGTTGCTGCTGCTGTTGTTGTTGTCATGGTGGTGGTGGTGGTTGCAGTTCCTGCTGCTGCTGCTGCTAGTGGTGGTGGTGGTGTAAAATGTAAAAAATAACAATTACTACCAAATGGACAATGACCATTATTAGCATAATTAATACATATTCTAGTACGATATTTTGGATGAAATTGTGGATATTTTAATTCATTTGGACCATGGGCAAAATGACAATTATCACCAAGTGGACAATGTTTATATTTTTGATAATGTAAACATGGTTGTGTTTTATATCTTGCATTATAAATAGCATCTTGTTTACGTGGTATTGGATAACGCATATGTACTTGCATTGGTCTATGTGTATTTATTATGGTTGATTGTAATTCATCATTATGATTAATACATGTTTTTGATGCAATAATAATACTATTATTATTATTATTATTATTATTATTTAATTGATTTGTTAATGTTGTTATATAGTGTTCATCAGTTTCTTTTTGTCTTAATAATGGTCTTGGTTGTAATTTGGTTAGTTTTTCTATAGATAATTGTTGTTTATGTAATTGTATTGATTCATGGTATTGATTTTTGGAATCAGTTCTCTTTTTCAATAATTGATCTGTTCCTAGAATTGAATTATGTCTTGTTGTAGAACATATAGGGAAATATATTGAATCATTCATTAACATATTAGATTGACATGTACATATAGCTGAAGTTGATGATAATGATAATGATCCTGTTGATGATGATGTCTTCATTCTATTAGGATTGATATTTTCATGATTCTCTTGATATAAATATGCTTTCCATGTTTTATTCACAATCATTTTTAAATGATCTGGTAAATTGGTATATTCATTTGTAGATTGAATTAAATTATGATATTTACAATTTGAATCCATAGTTTCCATAGTTTCCATAATTGGTCTTGAATAGATCTGATCAATATTATATAATCTATTATGTAATCGTTGATTTTCTTGTATATTATCATTATTAGTAAATAATTCATGTAATGGTGATCTTATTGTTGATTTCCCAATGTTTAAATTAGTTTCCATATCAGTTAAATATTTAAGTACATCATGGGTTTCAAATACCATTCTGATCAATGGAGGTTCTTTTGAATAATAATGATAATAATAATAATAAAACAAATAAATAAAATAATAAAAATAAAAATAAATTAAAGTTTATGTTCTGGTGGGAAACTAAAATGATTATCCCAATTAAAATTGTTCTACTTTTTATGTTTGTCAATATTAGGATGTCAAGGTCAAATGTTGATCCATAGAACCAATCAGAATGATTAGATTAGTGAAATGATCTAGTTCCTATAATATGATTGATTCATTCCCTATAATTCACCCCCTTTCTTCTCTTCTTATCATATTAATGCTAATAATAATATTAATAATAATAATAATACTTAATTTAGTTAAAATTAATCCTTATCCTGATCACCACCCCCAACCCCCTATCATGATCATCAAATGCTGTGTTTCTATTGGTTATTGAATTTTAAAATTATCATTAATAGGGGGGGGTGAGAGTGTATGAATATATATTACAATTCATAGGTGATGAATGTCGATGATTAACATAAGTAATTGACATCCTCATGCTGATCCTCCTCCTCCTCCTCCTCCTCATCATCATCATCATCATCATCATCATCGCCATCATAAGGTGAATGAAGTATGAAAACAAAACAAAAACAACAAAAAAAAATTATTTTTTTTTCATTTTATCGGTTTGTGCAATTTTGGTGATATTTCAATGATTATGTAATAATTGTTTTGATAAGATTCCATGTTATAGGTAATAAAAGATAAGATAATGGATAGTAATTCTTTGCCTTAAATAAACGACGGTTATCTAATCCGATTTGAATTCAAGCTTAATCTTTGTAACGTAAAAACTAGGTAGGTTAATCGTCTTGATCATAATATGCTTTCCTTGGTGTGTGGTGTGTGTATGTATCTGAGTATGTAGTGTGTGTGTGTGTGTGTCGATGTATATATGTAATATCATGAATAATCATGAATTCATGGGAGATCTATCTTATTGCATAATCAGTTATCTTAACTTAGTTTTAGTCGATAAGTTATATTTAACCCCTACGTAAACTGGGAAATTGAAATTCTTTTACAAAAGATTTTCATCATTTCAATAGTGAAATCAACATTTATAAAAACTAAAAGACATTGGATACAATTATTTCGTCCCAGTCTAAAACTCTTCTAGATTGTTTAAAGCAAACAATATTGGGTTCAAATCCCAGAGTGATTATCAACTTTAAGATGCAGTTACAACCAACTGACGAGTCCCAAATAAGACTGCTAGTCACTATTTATCATTGCTTATAATGTCTAAACATGGTCAATACCGCGTTCATTGCCCCTAAATGCCCTGGTATGGCCGAGATTGGGGGGAGTTCGCTCTCCCTCTCGAAATGCTCTCACATGACCACGCGTATACAGCCCCTGCCAAGGAAGTCCTACTCACTGCCTTCTCGCACTAGGGGTGTTGTTTACGAAAATGAGAGGACGAAAAGCGAATGTCTGGCGCTTTAACCGGATCCCAAACCAATGGTGCACATGGACTGGCTCCAGTATCCTGCGGGAACAAATGGCGTATGAACCAATCGTTGGTGACCGGCTACCATGGGACTGCATCTCCTTACGATGCTCCACTGCCTTGTGGATCAGATCTTCAGGTCAAAGGCTCGGGGTGTGGCCCCCTAAGAAAACCACCTGCTTCGGTTTGGGCACCCGTGCAGTATCACAGCCCTCACACATATCAAATGAGATCTGTATGGCGCATATATATTTAGTGCCTTCTTGTACCGATGTCTATATGTTAAAATAAAATAAATAAAATAAACCGCGTTCATTATGTTCAGAAGTTAATTGACTGGAAGAATTTAATTGTACATATCTTGATCCAACAATAGATAGGTTGCAGCAACAATAACTAGTCATAGGTATCTTTCATGGTGAAGGTGAGTACTTACTTACTTACGTCTGTTACCTCGCATGAACGAGAATAGACAACCCTCCAGCATTATCCATCCAATTCTGTTATAGATAATCATTCCCAGTTCTTTCCACTTGTTATTCGTCCTTTTCATATCTGCTTCCAAGTTTCGACGAAGTGTGTTCTTTGGCCTTCCTCTTTTTCGTCTCTATTCAGGATTCCAAGTTACTGCTTGCCTCTTGGTACAGTTTAGTGAGTTACTCGATGTATGTCCTATCCACCTTCAGTGTCTTCTACTAAATCCCTTTTCAGTTCACAGGTGATTTGTTCTTTCCCACAATAGATAATTGCTGATGATATTTGGGTAACAGACATTGAGTATCTTTTGTAGATAACTGTTCATAAATACTTTTGACATTTTGATGAATTTTGTGATAGTTCTTCAACTTTCAGCTCCGTATAATAAATCTAACTATCTTGAAGTTTGCATTGAAGATTGTGACTTTGATATTGGCTTGCAAACAGTTGTTGTTCAACTGTAAGAATATTGTCCTTATTTTGCCAATCCTCGCATTTACGTTTGCATTCGATCTTCCTTGTTCATCGATGATGTTCCCCAGATACGTGAAACATTCCACAACTAGAGTTTTGCCATCAAGTGTGTTCGGGAAGTACCATTTCCTTCAAGATTACAGACACAATTTTCTCGAGTTAAATGGGAATAGTGTGACGAACAAACTAATTTCGAAGTCACACCTCGACGTCAGCATTTAACGTAGATTATCCCTCCGACGTATCAAAGTACTATGGCTGCTTTAAAGACCGCATAACACAAAGGACCTTATTATGAAAGTACATTAGTAAGAATGATTACAGCGGGACTACCACCACATGCACCAATCCATGGCATTTGATAAACTGATGTAAATAGTTGTCCTTAACTTTGACGGGGATCGATGATCTGTTCAATATTCAATGACCCAAACTGTCGGATGATTTGGCTAGACCTCAGTGCCAATTCACTGACCCTGAATCATGTTGTAAACAAGAGCTAGTCCTCTTAATTTTCTTCAAAAGACATCATTATATTTTGATAATGTATTTCAAGAGAAACCTTCATAGTTTCACCTCACGATATTAATCTAATTTAACATCTAATGAAAATTTCGAACGGTTATAAACTAGGTAACTAACTGGAGGTCTTACTGAGTTAAAATTCGACGGTTTACATGTAATTCCCGATATCGTGTGACTATCACTAATTGCGATTACCTCCATTAATCACGGTATTTTTATAGTAATCAATAAATATTGACTAACTTACTGATGTCTTCATTGATCACTCAAACCAATAACAAATATTAAAAGGGGTTTTGTGGAGGTTTTAATAATTTTATAGTTGAATTTATGAGTCATTTGAAGCTAGATCACCGTGGAAAACCTGGAACTATTAGATGGCCGTTTTGTCCTAGTATAGGACGCCTCAGCAACCGGGACTGTAGTAAGATTGTAACTCACTGAGGATAATAATGGACGGCGGATCAATTTAGTCGATTAGTTGAAATTAGATATTAACACCGTTTGATACCGGCTTAGTGGTGTAGATGTTAATAATTCACGTAGGACACTGAGGGTTCTGGGATCGAACCCCAAATGGCGGGATTGTGGATATGCACTACTGAGTAGTTCCACGTTAGGATAAAATGGCCGTCCAGTGCTTCATGGTTTCCCATGGTAGTCTAGCTTCAATTGATTCATGAATTCAACTGTTAAATTTATTTGTACTTACATTTTTGATTCTTACACTTATTATTATACGAACAAAGTATAAATTTTGAATCTAATTTAAGCAATAAGAAACTTACTAACTATAGATTTTTGTGGGGGCTGAGATACTACCCGATTGCCAAAACCAAATTAGGTAATTTTCTTAAAAGATCACATTCCGAGCCTTTTACCAATAGTTTTGATCCACAAAGCAATGGAGTGACGTCAGGAGATAAAGTCACATGGTAGCCGGTCACCAACGATTGGTTCATACTCCATTTATTCCTTCAGGATCCTAGAGCTTATATGTACCATTTGTTTGGAATAAGGGTTATCCAATTCCCTTAGGTGGACTCTCCCTATCCACTAATCTGGATAAAGCGTCGGACATTCACTTTTCATCCTCTCAATTCTGTTAACAATAGTAATGACATGAGAACATGGTGAGTAAGATTTCCTTAACAATGACCGTATATGCGTATATATTTGAGAGCATTTCGAGAGAAAGAAAGAAAGAAAGAAAGGGAACTAACTCTTCTTACCCTCGACAGTACCAGGACATTTGAGAGCATAGTAATTTTCATCACAAACAAATCCTAACATAATATTTTACATTAAAATCAATTAAAGTATTATATATAGATACATATTATTCCCTTAACTTATCTTGAAGGTTATTGACATATCCATGGTAAACAAAGCTCACTATTATAACTGTTATTATTATTAGTAATAGTAGTAGTAGTAGTAGTAGTGGTGGTGGTGGTGGTGTACTGTTATTAGTATAATTCGTTATCCTTTGCACTGTACCAAATAATCGATTGATTGCTTTAATGAGTACTATTCATATAGTTGATATTATCCCAAAATTTGATCGATAAAATATAATCAATAATAGAATAGGACTCAATATGAAGAAGACTTGATGAGTAACTAATCCTTGAAAACAAAATGCAAGTACATTCAATAGAATAAAATATTCATATTATGTATGAGATTCTAATCATCATTTGTTTTAAACACTAATGAGTAATTTAATTAACTTTTTGAATGTTATGAGACTATATTGAAATGTTTAGTCCTGGGTTTGAAATCATGAAACGAATATTAATGTTTGTATTCAGGTAATAACAAGCTAATAAGTTCTAGGATAAAACGCAACACCCCTCCTCCTTTGAGTTTCACTGTTAAACACAATCTAACCCTGACTGTTGGTAATGTCAAGATAATCCGCTAAGGATTTCCATTTACAATAAGATATTGATTATTTACAGTCGTATACAACGGAAAGAAAAGACTTTTTATGTAATGGTTTTAATTATTTTTTTCTGGTTAACGTTTTTTTAGCGAGTTACTTTTCTACGGGATGGGGTTGCTAACTTGATGCTCAACCCTCCTTTATTTATCTAGGCTTGGGATTGTCAGTAGCCACAGAGGGGCTCCGATCGGAGTTGGAGAGAATTATTACGTTATAGAAGTTTTCAAGCATCATACATAAGTAAATCCATGGTCTTAAAGTTAATAGGAAATGATGATTTATGTAAAACATGTGTCCCCGAATGCCCTAGTACGGCCGAGAGTGGAGAGAGGCCGTTCTCCCTCTCGAAATGCTCTCACATGGCCATGCGTATATAGCATCTGCCACAGAAGTCCTACTCAATGACTTCTCGTGGCATTACTGTTGTTTACGAAAATGAGAGGACGAAAAGCGAATGTCTGGCGCTTTAACCGGATCCCAAACCAATGGTGCACATGGACTGGCTCCAGTATCCTGAAGGAACAAATGGAGTATGAACTAATCCTTGGTCATCGGCTACCACATGACTGCATCTCCTTACGATGCTCCACTGCCTTGTGGATTAGATCTTCAGGTCGAAGGCTCGGAGCGTGGCCCCTTAAGAAAACCACCTACTTCGGTTTAGGCAACCGGGCAGTATCACAGCCTACACACATATCCAATGTGATGTGTGTGGCGCATATGTATTTGGTGCCTCCTTGTACCAATATCTATGTGTTAATATAAATAAATAAAAATAAATTATGTAAAACGTGAATATGATGAAGTTTCGTATGCAAGATCGTGGATACGCACTGCTGAGGAGTCTTATAATAGGACGAAATAACTGTCTAGTACTTCCAGGTTCTTAGTGAGGGACTAGCATACATTGATTTGCGAATTAAACTAATAGAACAGGTTGTTGTCACAAATTGTACTCCATTGAACAGAAGTTATTCTCAGATACTTTAACAGTTGAATTTATAATAATACCACTTTCGTATCCCAGTTGAAATCAATACTGATCAGTGAATAATCATCAGAGCTCTGTAATACTCTTCTCTTTTTGTAAGTGAAAGAATCTTGAACGTTTAAGTTTTTTTTATTGAGATCATGAACCGATTGATGTTAGACCACAGTTGGAAACCTGGAAGCATTGGATGGCTGCTTCGTCTCATTGTGGGACTCTTCAGCAATGAGCGTCCACAGTCTCGCCCGCGGGATTCGAGCCCATGGCCTTCAGTCGCTTAACCTACTAGACCACTGATCCGGCCGGCATACAATGGTGTTAGTGTCTAATATCAAACATTCCAAAATTGATCACTGGGTAGTGACACTTTATGGAATCCATCAGGAATTTATATATATAACTGAACACAAATATTGGTACAAAGGTGTACCGAAGACATGTGCGCCATACAAGTCACTTGCTTTTTGTGTAGGCTGTGGTATTGTCCGCGTGCTCAGACTGAATCAGGTGGCTGTCTTAAAGGATTACATCCCAAGCCTTTGACCAAAAGGTTTAATCCACCAGGCAGTGGAGAAACGTCAGGAGATGCAGTCCCATGATAACCAGTGACGGACAATAAATTCTTACGCCATTTGTTCCTTCAGGATCCTGGGGCCCATGCGCACCATTTGTTTGGAATAAGGGTTTTCCAACTCCCCTAGATGGATCCTCCGTGTTCAACAACCCGGTTAAAGTAACGGATATTCTCTTTTCGTCCTCTCACTTTCGTAAACAACAGTAATGCCACAAGAAGACAAGGAATAGGACTTCCCTGACATTGGCTGTATACGCATGACCATGTGAGAGCGTTTCAAACAAGGCGAACTAACTCTCCTCACCCTTGGTCATAACAGAGTATCTGGAGGTATCAGCTCCTTCAAGATTATCGGTTAATTATCTCCAATCATCATTTTAAACTTGAACGTCTTAAAATGAGGTCTTAATCAAGTTCATTGTCCATTTTGTTAACTGGAAAACACAAAAAGAAAAAAATTTTTTTCTCTTTTGTTTTTGTTGTTGCCGCTGATTTATTTAAATCTCTTAATTATACCTTTGTTGACATTAAAAGTGTTATATTTAAGAAAAAAAACTTTTTTTTTCACCTTTTTTATATTTGACCTATGCATAGATAAATAGTGTATTCATGATTTGATCTATGATTCGAGTTACAACAGTAGTATTAATCGGCTTATTAGAATACAAACACCAAACCACCACTCACCCACCCACCCACCAACCGATATAACCATTTACCCACCCTCCTACACACACCCGCACACACACACACAAGTACAACATATCGATTATATTATCCCAGTAATTCAAGTTCAAATGATATTGAAAATCATTGAAAAAATTGAGGGGTTTTCTTTGTCATTGTTGTGATTTCAATGGACATTTCAATGTTAGCCCTGTAATTAATATGAATTAGAGAGTTGAACTAAAGAAAAGAGAAAAAGTTTCTTTTTTTTTTCCAACCGAATAAAATGATTAGTTTTATACAATTCAATGAGGTTAAGTATTCATTTAATAGTCGATTTTATGAGTCGACTAAAGCTAGACTATCATGGAAAACCTGGAAGTTAGACATTGACATTGTTGGATATTGGTTCAGTGGTGTGTAGGTTAAGCGTTCACGCTCCAAATCGAAGGTTGTGGGTTCGAATCCCTTGTATGCAACTGAAGATGTGCACAACTATGTGATCATGTATTAGGACGAAACAACCGTTCGTTGCTTCCAGGTTGTGAATTCAATTATTCAGTAAGTTAATTCAATTCAAATAATCTGCTGAGGAGTCTCATACTAGGACGAAACGGCCATCTAGTGTTTCCAGGTTTTTCACGGTGGTCTAGTTTCAATTGACTCATGATTATATTCATTGGAATATATATTATCTTATCTACCTTTTATATTTTAAACCCTTCTAAGACTGACTAGGAACAGTTTGGTTTCTTTAGGGTCCCTGAATCTTCCTCCATGCTTCTCGAAAACTATGCCTACACATATATTTGTAAATTTTCTCATTTATTCATCACACATATTGTTTATTTAGGATTTCATTATTTAGTAATTTATTAATTGAATTCATGAGTCAATTAAAGCTAAACTATTATGGAGAATCTAGTAGAACTAGATAACCGTCTCTTGCTAGTATGGAACTACTCAGCAATGAGCATTCACGATCCCACCCCATGAGAGTCGTATCTATGACTTTCGGTGTCTCACAAGAAGGTTTAACCTCTCTACCACTGAACCGGTATTCAACGGTGTTAATGTCTAACTTTAATCAATCCACATAGTTTTATTTAAAAAAGGAATTGATTGATTACCAAGTGAGAGTTCTTAGGTTTATGAAATAAATATCTCTATCTCTTTCTTTCTGTTATTCAAACGATGATAATCGTATGGCAAACCACAATTTATATCACATCGATTTTCTAATCAAATCATTTAGAGTAAAAGGTACTGGGTTCGAATCCAGCACTGAACATCAACTATGGCATACAAGTACATCTAAATTACTTACTTACTTACTTACTTACTTACTTACTTACTTACTTACTTACTTACGCCTGTTACTCCCAATGGAGCATAGGCCGCCGACCAGTATTCTCCAACCCACTCTGTCCTGGGCCTTCTTTTCTAGTTCCATCCAATTCTTGTTCATTTTTCTCATATCTATCTCCATTTCTCGGCGTAATGTGTTCTTTGGTCTTCCTCTCCTCCTTCGACCTTGAGGATTCCATGTGAGGGCTTGTCTTGTGACGCAGTTGAGTGCTTCCCTCAATGTGTGTCCTATCCACTTCCAGCGAGATTCTTCCTAATTTCTTCCTCCACTGGGATCTGATTTGTTCTCTCCCACAGTAGGTTGTTGCTAATAGTGTCCGGCCAGCGGATCTGAAGTATTTTGAGTAGACAACTGCTAATAAACACCTGTATCTTCTGGATGATGGATTTCGTAGTTTTCCAGGTTTCTGTCTCATACAGTAGAACTGTCTTAACATTTGTATTGAAAATTCTGACTTTGGTGTTGGTTAACAAATAGTTGTTTTAAGTTCCAGATATTCTTCAGTTGTAAATATGATACTCTTGCTTTGCCAATCCGTGCCTTCACATCTGGATCAGATCCACCGTGTTCATCGATTATACTGCCCAAATATGTAAAGGTTTTTACATCTTCCAAAGCTTCTTCGTCAATTGTGATGTCAATTACACACAATTGACATCTAAATGACTAGTCCTAAATAGAAGAATTCTATTACAGGTCAAAATTTGTCACTTCTATCATTATTTGTGTGTAAATGTTCGTTTTTTTTTTTAATATCAGCTATGGAATTCTTCAAAACTTAGAAAGCAATGATTCTGTCTTTCCTTCGAAACCCAAGATCTTATGTTGAAACATACATTACTAGTCAATTTGTTGTATCAAGTGATTGTTAACTAACTTCATTCGGGTATAATGGGGCCATTTCTAACTTAGCCGACTACTTCTATGGTCAGTTTCATGAAAGATTTTTGTCAACGATACTAATCATAATAATAAGTCTCATCATCATCATCATCATCATCATCATCATCATCATCATCATCATCATCATCATCATCATCATCATCATCATCATCATCATCATCATCATCATCATCATCATCATCATCATCATCCAAAGCATCATCATCATCATCATCCAAAGCATCATCATCATCATCATCCAAAGCATCATCATCATCATCATCCAAAGCATCATCATCATCATCCAAAGCATCATCATCATCATCATCATCCAAAGCATCATCATCATCCAAAGCATCATCATCATCATCATCCAAAGCATCATCATCATCCAAAGCATCATCATCATCATCCAAAGCATCATCATCATCAAACCAACATCATGTTGCATATAGGAGAGTGTCTAGAAAACTAAGGACAGAGTAATACATAGAATGCTTGCATATTGACTTTTTAAGACACTAACAATTTACTCATGACTCAATAACTTCTTCAGCAATAAAATCATTTTTCTCAGGTAAGCAAACAAGATAGAAAGAGAGAGAGAGAGAGAGAGAGCAGCGTAATTAGTCCTATCAAGAATCATTTAGATAACATGAATTCTGACTTGACAATTATACCATAGCAACAATAATTCAGTGCTAATTACACTATCTAATTTGTTTTGTTTTCTCTTATATAATTACGTGTATTTCAAATTATACTCTGGTTGTTTTATTGTTGAAATTGTAGAGGTTGGTGGTTGTAATGATTGGTGGACAATTACGTAATCAATTTGATTTACAAAGAAAGAAATACTGTAATAATAACACGTTTAGAAGAGGCCAAAACAAAAATTCGGTAGTTACAGTGCAAGAGGAATCTATATCCTTGTATAGCGTGTGTATGTGTAAACGTGGAGATTGTCAAAAATTATAAGCTTGAAAATGCCACTAGTATTTGAAGTTTGACAACATGTCAATCAGTAACAACTTCTATAATCAAAATGTGACAACTCAATGAAATCAGAAGTCAGCAGTGAGGAGGTTCGAAGATTTTTTTGTTGTTGATAGGTTATCAATATATCAAGAAATGAATGATCTAAGTTGGATAGAGGTTGTAGAAGAAGTTGAACACAGCGTACCCATTTGTGATCTAGTGAGGATGCATGACTGACTGACTTCAACTAGGTGAATTCATTAAAACTAATGTGGTGAGCATCCAATGTCGAAGACTTACAGAGCTATTGATTTTGGGAATTTATTTACTGCTACAAACTTTTACACTAAGAATCGTCATTAATTGATAAATCTTTGAAAACTATAAAAGACTGACAAACTAACTCAACCTTGTTGCACTAATGAAGAATTTGACACACATGACATTGATCACTATCCAGTGAACAATCAATTGTGAATACATCTCACTCCTACAGGAGATCGGTCGCGGCCCGGATAGCTCAGTAGTCACGTTTCTGACTGTGAAACTGGTTGACACGGGATCAAATTTATCAGGAAGCAACGGTTTCATTAAGATTACAGGTATAGCTTGCTGACAAGTGTCAAATAGCACAAAACTTAGGTTTAGGGTTTCCTGTTGATTGACTACCTCCAACCACCATCTTATCTCATCATAGTGCATACAGTGTCGAGTCTCTTAAACTAGTGTTCACATTGCAACTTGGTCGATAACATTCAATCTGCACTAAGAAGGACTTGATACACATGACACTGATCACCACTCAGTGATCGATCAATTGTGAAAACTTTAAAACACTGACCAACTAACTCACCATAGTATAGGACTACTCATCAAGATGCATTCATAAACTCACCAGACATTGTACTTTGAACCTTCAGGCGTCTATATGATTTCAATCATTAAGATCATAAGTCAGTTGAAGCTAGACCACCATGGAATACCTGGAAGCACTGGACGGCCGTTTCGTCCTATTATGGGACTCCTCAGCAGTGCGCATCCACGCGTGTGCTTAAAACCCTTCATGTAACCTTATGATTACCAAATATTTGGAACACTAAGACATCATACAATTTTTTATATCTATAACTTCAATTAATTTGGAATATGCAGTAACTATCTCCCCATTCATTATTATTATGAAACTGTCTCATATCAAATATAACTGAACTGTACTAATTATAGATTCTTACTAAGATGCCGAGGATTTTCACACGATACTACCCACAAATGAATGAGTTCATATAATTTTATCCCTCATGATAAACAGGTTAGTAATCAGTCACTGAATCGAACCATATACTGTTTAACAGAAGCTCCCCTGAAGTTAGTCTTTGTTTTTCAACCTGTATTCAATGTGTTTCACTGATTCCAAGTAACGCCAGGTTGCATCTTTTCATTTCTGAAGTAATTTGGATGATTCTCCCGGTCTCCGATATTGTACGAGCATTCCATGTACTTAAATTAATAGTTGCTGTGGTTGCCAGAAAGGATATTAGCTTCGGAACTTCCGAAGGAACTCAGTTTTCACCATGAGGCATCATAACTTTTCTAAATGAAGAACCTCTAAATCCCAGGGTAGAGGTTACATTGTTTGAATTATTTTTTTCTGGTTAGCGTTTTTTAAGCGAGTTAGTTTTCTACGGAATGAGGTCGCTAACCTCATGCCCAATCTTTCTCCTTAACCCGGGCAGTAGTCCCAGAGGGACACCAGACGGACTTTGTCTCTCTCTCTCGCGCGCGCGCGCTCTCTGCATATATATCGAACCATAGTTATTTTGTGCTATCAATGAGTTACTATCTTAATTCCAAGTCACTCTTGCTTATTTTCTTGATGTCTACGCTATTGTGATCAAAGATACTACAGGTATTCGTAGTTTGACAACACCATTACACATAACACCTTATTGATTGAAGTGTGTCAACCCAGTGAAATCAGAAGTCAGAAACGAAGAGGTTCGAATATATATATTAGAAAGACTATCAATATGTCGGGAATAGTTTGATCTAAGCTGTCTAGTAGTTGTAAATAATGCGTAGCGCGGTGTATCCACTGGTGATCTAGTGCAGATACGTGACAGAGCTACCTCAAATACATTTGTTCATTAAAACTAATGCGATCAGTATCAAATGTCAAAGACATAGAGAACTATTTGATAACTATCATTGCAATGATGATCAGTAGTTACTAAGTGAAGAAAACCGAGCCTTGAATGATAATATTAAGAAAAATACCATTCTGATCACTTGACTTCTTTCTTCCATAGCTCATAAAATATCACTGACTTCTTTGCTAGTTAGATTCCCTTCCCCCCCCCAAAAAAAAACTAAACGAGCATTACAAAAATAAACCGACAATAGACACTGATCAGTACACTAACAACTGAAGTCAGACAAATAAACACACAAACAATTGTTTATGTTTATATGTTTGTTTGTATTTTGTTTAGTCTATATTAACACATGGTGCATGTGTATGCACAAAAAACCCCTTCTAATACTACTCAACATATACTCACTAATGATGGTCTCCAAGATGTATTCCATATGGGCTCAGTAGTTTAAAGCTTAGGCGTTCTCGCGCGAGACCAATCGGTCATGCGTTGAAATCTCGTGGATGAAGTCGTCAATGCGCACTATTAAGAAGTCTCAAACTAGGACAAAACGACCGTCCAATGCTTCCAGGTTTTCCATGGTGAACCGATCAGTGTTAAACCACAATTGAAAAAAAAGGAAGCATTGAATAGCCTTTTCGTCCTAGTATGGGATTCCTCAGCAATACGCACCATGATCACATACATAGGACTCAAATTCCGGACCTTCTTCATTTATAGTCCGGAAGAGAATTTAGGTCCCTCGAAGAATAATCTTTAATTTTATTTTTTAATACTATCATCACTAATACATGCTATATAAGAGTGAATTTTTGTGTGCATTTATCACAGTTTGATTTGTCTAGTCCTTTTAGTGTCGACCTTGATTAAACAATAGTTGTTTCATCCTATTATTGCAGTCTGCTTGAATGACTGAACAACCTGTTCCTTGCCTTCTACATATTTAAACTAGTTATCTTTTTCATTATTTGTTTCAACAGATCATTATTACAATGAATTACACAAACTATTCAGGTGCGTTGGTGAAATGTGTACAACGTTTCATTGTACAACTTACAAAAAGCACAACCAGAGATATCGTGGTTGCTGGTAATATGTATCGAAAAGAATGTACATTATTTAGATATCGATTCTTGAACTGCTAACATCATATTGGTTACTTAGTTACTTAAGCCTATTACTCCCAATGGGGCATAGTCCGCTGACCAGAATTCTCCAACCCACTCTGTCCTTCACTCTCCTTTCTAGTTCTATCCAATTGTTGTTCATTCTTTGCATATCTGTCTCCATTTGTCGGCGTAATGTGTTCTTTGGTTTTCCTGTTTTCCTTTGATATTGAGGATTCCAGTTGAGGTCTTGCCTTGTGACGTAGTTGGTTGCTTTCATCAAGGTGTGTCCTATCCTAGTGAATAATCATCAACGGATCGGAAGTATCCGTTCAATATTTATCGTCAGGATTGATCAAGAAATAAGAAACAGATACTTATTAAAAGACTTTTTGTAATTTAAAACTTAAGTCACTGAATGAGAACGTTTGATAGTTACTATGATTCTCGAATATCTTGTGTTTGATCTCAAGTTTAGGTAATAGATATGGACTGTTGATAAATCCTTGGACAAACACTTGTAGCGATAAATTAATCCCTAAAATCAATAGCTGTGTAAGTCCTCGATATTTGTTATTGACTATGTTAGTTTTAATGAACTCGCCTAGTTGAAGGCGCTCAGTCATGAATCTGTATCAAATCATGAGTGGGAATGCTGTGTTCAACTCCTACAACCTCTCTTCAGCTTAGATAATTCACTTCTCGATATATTGATAACCTATTAAATATATCTTCGAATTTCTTCATTTCTGACTTCTGTTTTCATTGGTTTGTCACTTTTCAATTATAGAAGTTGTTACTGATTGAAGTGTTGTCAAACTCCAAGTACTTGTAGCATCTTCAAGTATATTCAACTATTTTCTTTAAGATTTATTTCAAGTAACGTAAACACTAATTTATTTCAATCATTAAGATCATGAGTCAGTTGAAGCTAGACCACCATAGAAAACCTGGAAGCACTGGACGGCCGTTTCGTCCTATTGTAGGACTCCTCAGGAGGCGAGGTCGTGGATGCGCACTGCTTGTTTGTGTAGTTTCTTTTTCCGGTTGTAGATTATCATTAATCACATTAAGGCACACGATCGATCCATACTACCAACAAATACTCGATAAGTAATTTGAGTTATACCAAACACAACCGAAATTACCGTGTGTAACCAGTAATGTTACACATCACATCTCGACTACAGAACTACCTGTATTTTCGAAAGATCGTCGACTAGCTCCCGAAAAGCTTAGGTTGGCTAAT